TAGCAAACGAGCCAAATATTTAGTCGAGGATAAAGCGAGTTTACATGGAGGAACGTTGCAAGTTTCTTGCATTTACAATTTGATGAGATAATTGCAAATGAAAGTAGAACAAGAAATATGTCATATATATTTCATAGAATAATGTTTCAAAAATTCGAGAGACTCTTTCATAGATCAGCAATATAATAAAAGACATGCTTCCAAGACAGAGATGATCCGTAACATATCGAAAAACTAGTTTGATCAATTCATGATTTTTATACATGAATTAGTTGCAACATCATAGCAAAAAACCCACACTTCTCATTCAATGTCTTCACCTTTCTCATACATACTCCATCATCGTAAACAAAAAAAAAGAGTTAAAAAAATAATTGTTGTTAACAAAGTTGAGAACTTGACTCAAAAAGAATTCTCGTCTTGTAACAAAATTCAACTTCTATGCAAAGAAAACTTCTCTCTCTTATTTTAATAATTTTTCTTGTCTCTATTTTAGACTATCCATTACGTTCTCCATCCAGCGCCAACATTCATCCGAATGCTCGATGGCAACAAAATGGTATCACTGTAGCTGGAGGAAATCGACAAGGCAATGGAATCAATCAACTCTCAAACCCATATGGTTTGTATGTTGATGATGATCAAACAATCTATGTTGCTGATCGAACGAATCACCGTATTGTGGAATGGAAACGAGGTGCAACAAGTGGCCAAGTGGTTGCCGGTGGAAATGGACAAGGAAGTGGAGATCATCAATTGTCTTACCCAACAGATGTGATTATCGACAAAGAGAGAGATAGTCTCATCATATGCGATACTTCGAATAGAAGAGTGGTTCGATGGTCTTGTCGAAATGGGACAAGTGGAGAAACAATCATCTCCAACATCGATTGTGTGGGTTTGACAATGGACGAGAATGGATCTCTCTATGTCACTGATGACGGAAAACATGAAGTGAGACGATATCGAAGAGGAGAATCTCAAGGAACAGTGGTTGCAGGTGGCAATGGAAGTGGAAATCGTCTCGATCAACTCTCTTTCCCACAATACGTATTCGTCGATCGAGATCTTTCAGTGTACGTATCTGATGGGAACAATCATCGTGTGATGAAATGGATGGAAGGTGCAAAACAAGGCATTGCCGTGGCTGGTGGTCAAGGAGAAAGAAATGATCTTACACAATTGTCATCTCCTGAAGGAGTCGTTGTCGATCAATTGGGCACTGTCTATGTGGCTGATTGGGGGAATGATCGAATCATGCGTTGGCCTAAAGGAGCCACACAAGGAAGTGTCATTGTTGGTGGAAACGGTAGTGGAGAACAATCGAACCAACTCTGTGGGCCCATCGGTTTGTCATTTGATCGACACGGGAATCTCTATGTCATCGATAGGGGAAATCATTGAGTTCAAAAATTTAATATCCATTCCAATGCATAAGAAATGTTAAGAATGGTTTTTGATGGAATATATTTCTTTTTCCGAGAACGCTCAATCAAATAAAAGAATTTATTTCTATGAAAGAATGTTCTATTTTCTCGTGCTGTTCGACTTCTTTAAAAGTAGATGAGAACAGTTGCGTATCATATACTAAGTACATGTTGAATTTCGACTATCTATGAACTATTGAAAAAAAACCGAAAAAAGACAATTTATTGTCTAAATCCAATGGAATGAATAAAAAATAAACAATGTATTCTTGAAATTTTATTGATCGGAGAATAATTTGAATAAATTAGGACAAAAGTAAAGGGAAATTAAATAATATTTCTCTTGATTAGAATATCTGATTACAATGAAAATCCAACAATAATGAATCAAACATGGAAAATATTTTGCGACATTGAATATGAAATAGGAATTTCTACAAGTGAATTTTTCTTGAAGATTCGTTACTTCTTACAAAGAAGTTTCGATCATTTTTCTCATATATTCTTTCGAACTGATCGAATTAGACCTTAAAAAACATACGATAGGAGCTATGAGTAGTTGGAAGTTTGAAAGAGAAGATTTCTACTTCTTCCATACGAACATCGAGCTCTCGAAATCCATCAAGTTTTTGATGTTACAAAAAGAACAAATCTATAGGAAAGATATTTCAAGGTACGGAATATATGTTCGAGCATTCAAAACTCATTAGAATTTCATTTATTCGTTGAGAGAAAACC